TTATTATTTCTTTCCATCTGGTGATTTGAGGCTTGGCTTATTCTTGTTTTTCTAAGAGCTTAGGTGCTTCATTAAGTGATTTATTTGGGATTTCTCTGATTTTTCTAATGTAACACCCCTTGTGGGGATTATCCTTCTCCCTGACCATTTTGTTTTGCACCCTATGTTAGAGTGCTTGTTTCTTTTGTAGATCTAAAGTTCAATCTTCCTCGATTTCCTTTGGTCTCTAACTATTGTGCCCACCCCTGCCTTTTTAAGCCACCTATGTTTTTTTGTAGCCATATACCTGAGGTTCTAATTCAGATTTATGGAGACAAAGGAGAGTGATAGGTCTCTAATCTGTCACTGTGTCCCCCATTTTAACTTTCATTGCCCAGGTGTTGTAGTCACATCAGACATACTAGCCTACCTTGGAGATTCACATTTCTGAAAAGTGCAGCCTTTCCTACTTTTTGACTTTGATTTGTCTTCTTGTGGGTTTTCTCTCCCTAATAGTTTCTCTGTGTCCTTCCAAATTGTCCTTCTGATCCAGTCTCCTAGAAACACTATCTCTAGCCCAGGGTATGGTTTGCCTCTGATGAATGGGCAGATGTGGTTCCAGCACTGGCAGATGTTGACTCCAGACTATTTAGTCTTTCTCTCTCTCTCTCTCTCTCTCTCTCTCTCTCTCTCTCTCTCTCTCTCTCTATTTTTCTCTCTCTTTCTCATCTCCCCTAACATTGTCAGGACATTAGTGTGAGAATAGGATTCCCTAAAATGGATGGGATACCAGGATCCGGCCACACTTCATTATCCAAGGCAGATTGTGTCATGGTAGATACAGGACCATGTTCTCAGCACAGAGGACTAGGGAAGTAATTATCCCACTGGAAAGCAGGACTACTTATCCTTGGGTGTTCCTATGATGTTAAATAACAGGCCTGGCCTAAGGCCAGAGCTTCTGTATGGACTTGAGTTACCTAAGCAGTGAAATGGACAACAGGTTCACGTTCTCATAGCCAGCCTGCCATGCATCACCACCATTCACACTGAATTCTGAACTCACTTTAGATGAATGAAAAGGATTTGATATCTTTAACATCTCTGCATTAGGAATATTCAGTATACTTTCTGTTTCTTTGACATTTATCCACTAATATAGTCTTTTAACAGCTTTTCAATGCTTGCTGTGCTCTCAGGAAACTATCTTTGTCTTTCACTTGTTCCTAAAAAAATAAGGAAAGAGAGAAATGAAATTCTAAATAACCAAAATGTCATAACTGATTCCTCAAATTGAAAACATAATTATAACTTCACAAGAAATGCCTTTAATTTTGTTTTAAAAGTTTTAAATTAATAAGAAAAGTTTACAAATACTTTTTTTCATAGTCTGAATTATATGGTATTTGGGGATACAAGGAAGGAACCTAGTCTAGTAACCACAGCCTTCTGGGGCTAATTGAAGGGATCAATGCCCCTCTCCCACCACGAACAAATGGTAGCAGCTCAATACTGAGGAATACCCTCTGGTAATATCCCAACACATCTCTTTGATGACCCTGGACACCATCATGAAGTATGCCTTCAGCCACCAGGGCAGTATCCAGTTGGACAGGTGAGTGACAACCCTTTAGTTGCAGGGTCCTTGTTCTTACTAAGTGGCATGGATTCACCCGAGAGGCAGGTGGATGCTCACCTCCAGAAAAAAATTCTGACTCCAGCCCCATGCCAAGCTCAATGCCAGACCAGATCCACCATGTCCCAACCACAGGCCCCTGATCCCTAGTATAAGTGGAAACCTGGGGGCTTCTGCCATCTTTTAAAGGCCCAGTCATAAAGGTCATAAAACAGAAGTGATTCCTGTCCCATTGTTTTAGGGAATCCTAACCAGAACCCACTCTCCCTGTTAGTCATACCTCATCATTTTCAGTACATTCTGCATCCTCTCCCTTAGGAATTCCCAGTACAATGTATAGGCCATTGAGGATCAGAACAATCTCTTATCTTTCTATATGAGAAATGTCTTTCACGCTATTGACACCATCTACAGACTGACTGCTGATGGCTGCTGGGCAAATTGTGCCTGCCAGATCGTCCATGAGCTCACAGGTTCTATCTGTTTTTCCTGTCCCTCCTTCTTTACCAGGGTCATCCCAAAGCAGCTGGTCATGACCCACTAGGCCCACATGTACCCCTGCATGACACATTGCAGGATACACTGTTGCTATATTTTCCTAGTGCAAGGGCAGGAGCTAAGACATTACCGTATTAGGCCCATGAGGATTACCTGTTCTAACACACTGGCAATGTTGAGACTCATGCTTGCAGCCTTCAATAGGGTCTCTATTGGCTATGCTCCTGAGCAGAGTCCTTGCTAGCATTAGATAGTGCTGGACCCCCACCTGTGACCAATCCACTATTTTCCACACTCATCCTGAGTTCTACAGGGATTCACATTAGGAAAGAGGGCACATGGGCCTACTAGGGATTACTAGGGCATTTGGTTTTGCCTGATGACTGCTTTCCTGGGACAGACCGGGTGATCAAGTTGAGGAAGGCTCAACTGCAGGATGAGGGAGAGCTAGAGAAAATCAGGAGGAGAAGGTGCTTGGATTTTCTGGACATCCTCCTTTTTGCCAAAGTGAGAGTACATGGCAGAGGCCTGAGGCTTTCTCTGGAAGCTTAGAGCGAAGCACAGATACTGCTTTCTTACCCATGCCCTTCCTCAGATGGAGAATGGGAACAGCTTGTCTGACAAAGAACCGCATGCTCAAGTGGACACATTCATGATTGGGGGCCAAGACACCACAGCCAGTGGCATCTCCTGGATCTTCTATGCTTTGGCCACACACCCCAAATACCAGCAGAGGTGTAGAGAGGAGGTGCAGAGCCTCCTGGGAAATGGAACCTCCATTGCCTGATGAGTAAGATCACAAGAGGTAGGAGAGCCTTGCTTCTCTGGTAGAGGGAGTCCCTGGTCTTCCTAGGAGCTACTTGCCTTTCAGGATGGGTTTTGTTTCAGGGAACACCTGGATCAGATGCCTTTCACTACCATATGCATCAAGGAAGCCCTGAGGTTCTATGCACCAGTATCAAGTGTGGGCAGAGAGATGAGTAAATTTGTCACTTTCCCTGATGGATGCTGTTAGAAAACACTGCACATCTCACACAAAGGAGGCTCATGAGAGGTATCTTATGTCCAAAGTTTAATAAGCAGGCTGGCTGGCCAAGAAGAAAAAATGGCGCAGCAGCTTCTCTCGGTGGGTCTGGCCTTAAGTAGCATTTGGGAGAAAGTAAGGGCTAGGGATGAACAAAGAGAGGTGGCGGGAGATAAGGGACAGTGGGGCTTTGTTCTGCAAGGGATGAGACCAGCTGCTGAATGGTGGCAAGGGGCAGTTCTTATCATTCCCCCATTTTTTAGTTTAATAATGATGATTGTAGGGACTGAGGATCAGGAGTTGGGGTGAAGCATTGGTCTCTTTAGCTGCTTCCTGCTGGCAGGGGGCATTGTATGGGGCAGGATCCTCAGGCTCCTGTGGCATCCTGGATGGGGCCTTCACAGTAGTTTTTCCGGGAGGCTTTGGAGAGGTTGATACCCCTGGAGGTACAACTGGTTAAATTTTTGATTAGCAGTAGCAGACATGTAGTATGATACAAGGGAGGGAGCTTAAGAATAGGAGAGCAAGAAATATAGGCATTAGGATGGGCATTAGCCAGGAGAACCACTGTGAAATGTTGTTCTCTAGAGGATTTTAAGAGTCCATTCCTTAAGAGGTGCTGCCACTGGGGGATCCCATTGAGCCTGACAGCAGTGCGTGTTGTGAGAAAGACCAGATGAGGGCTGGTTCATCAAAGTCCCAATGGAGAGGGTAGAGGATCTTTTAGGAGAAAAAGATCCCCTGGTTTAACAGAAAGTGTTATAGAAGGGCAGGATACAGACCAGAGTCTGTATGTTTTCTGAGGAGTTCCCTGAGAAGGTTAAGATAAAGTAGTAGTCAGCCAGAGTCTGTTGGAGGCAAGTTTTCTAAGAGAAATGGGTGGCCATACATTATTTAAGACCTAAATAGGAATATTAGGAGAAGCATAAAAGGTGTCTTGCTAAGGGACTGCATACCTAGGGATCTGAATTTTGTAAAATCCTATAACTCCCAGGAAAGCTCTAAGCCACTTTTATGGTATGGGGAAGTGGGAAACTGAGGATTGGGTTGATTTACTCATGACTCAGGGAGTGAGTCTGTCTCTTTAAGAACACACCTAGGTAGGTGACCTGAGGGAGACATAATTGAGCCTTCTCCTTAGAGACTTTGTATTCCTGGAGGCCAGAAAGTTTTAAAAGGGACTCAGTTGCCCTGCAGATAAGGGGCTCTGTGGCTCTGCACTGAAGAAGGGTGGCCTCTGGGCAGTCAATCTAATAAGTCTCTGGTTAGGGCCTATCCATAAAGATGAGGGCTGTCTTTAAATTCTTGTGGCAAAACTGACCAGGTTAGTTGTTATGAAGCATTTGTGGGATCTTTAAAGGCAAATAAGGCTGACTGTCAGGATGCAGGTTAAATGTAGCACTTTTGGATAAAAGAGAGATTTAGCTCATCATGAAAGACCTGATTGCCTTTCAGTCTGGGGAGACCTTCCCAAGGAACAGCGAGACCACTTGTGCAGATGCAAACAGCAAGAGGTTTATTCAGATGCACAGGTACCTGGGGCAGCAAAGTCGCTCGGAGGACTTGCGCGCCGTTAGGCTGGGGTCTAGGGCTTATATAGGGTTGGGGAGCGAAAGCGCGGGTACAGAAGCAAGATGCATGGTTACAGGGTGGTGATTGGCCAATTTAAATGAGGCGGAACTTGGGTACAAACTGTTTTTGTTTTTCCCTTCCCTGGTGCCAGGTGGCAGACCGCAGATATCCTGTTTGGCCCTTGACCGTTAGCAGAGATCCTGTTTGGCCCTGTTCTGTTACAGGGTGTTGTTGCTAAACTATTTATCCTGCGGGGCAGGTGCCTTTCATTCCCCCATTTTTTTTTTTTTTTTAGGAGGGTTGTTGTGGATCTTCTATATCTATTTGTCTTAGCTGGTGGTATTGTTGGGTCAGAACCAGAGCCTGTATGACTGACAGTCTGTCCTTCATGAATTGGACCAGCCGGTTAAGAATGCAGGGTCCAAATAACAAGATCAAAAGGAGGATGAGTAGAGGTCCCAGGAGGGAGGAAAGTAGGGTAGTGAACCATGGGGATCGATTGAACCATCCTTCAAATAAACCTTGTCCTGATTCAAATAATTGTTGTCTTTGTTTAAGTCTTTCCCTGAGTTTAGCCATGTTGTCTCTTACTACCCCAGTATGATCTGCATAGAAGCAACATTCTTCTTTTAAAGCTGCACATAATCCTCCTTCTTGTAAAAATAGGATATCTAATCCTCTCCTATTTTGTAAGACTACTTCCGAGAGGGAAGTTAAGGATTTTTCAAGAGCGGTGACTGATTCTTCTAATTCCTTAATATCAGTATGCATTGCTGCTTGTAATTGCCTGAATTGTGAGGTTTCCATTAAGGCTGTAGTTCCTGTTCCAACCCCAGCTGCTATTCCTCCAATTGTTAGTCCTCCCAGTAGCAAGGCCAAGGTCATGGTTACTGGCTCTCTGCGGAACCGAGTAATCCCTTCAAAGTGGGTATAAATGTATTCAGGGTCATGATAAACAATTTTAGGCCATAATTCAATTAGGACACAATAGTCTGAGGAGGTATTTAAGACCTGGGCAGATATGCAGGGGGTCAACCCCGTACTGCAAGCCCAATAAGTCCCATTAGGGCCTGTCAAATAGTATGAGCCTGACCCGGTGGTTAGGGTCTGGTTGCATAGGTCCTGATGGGTTGTGGGGACCTTTCCAGCGCAAAGCCCTTGGCCGGACACTTCAGATAGTGTTAGCTTATGTTGGGGGTTGGTGTTAGCTTATGTTGGGGGTTGGTGTTACATTTGGTGGGGGGAGAAGTATGGTTAGTATAGTTACCTTGGATGGCTACCCCTTCGTAATAAGGGGGTCTCGAGACCAGACATAGCCAGCATTCCTGAGTCCTATTTGGGTTGGTGGCATTGAGAGTCAGGAAGGCTCCTTTTATTAGATTAAGTAATCTATCTCCTGTTCCAGGTGGGCGAGGAGTAATTGTAGTATTGGCTGGAGGGGTCGTTGGGGTGCCTTGGGGTAAAGCAGGTGGTATAGGCTGGGAAGGGGGCCGCTGTTCTGGCAAAACCTGATTGGGCCCCACGGAATGTGTGGGTGCCGGGCTAGATATTTGTCGGGTCAACGAGAACAACGCAACAGGGTCATATCCAGTGCGGTATAGGCGTATTCCCCAGGTCTTGGGACCGTCCCATGAGGCTGCTTTTCCAGTGTTAGTAAAAGTAATGATTAAGGGGTTGCATTTGCCCCCTGCAGTGGCCCCGGGCATTGATTTTTCCTGTGAAGAATTTGCATTATAGCAGGGCCCTGCGCCCGCAGGGAAACTGGAATTTCGCTTGAGGGTAATTAGGTCCCATGAGGATGAGGGGTTCCAATAGGCATCCCCCGTTGTCTCGCAACCCCATTCGGCGCAGTACCCATCTTTGGCCCCCCCGCAGCCTTCTCGGATGTTCTGTCCTGGGCAAACATATAAACCTTTGTCTCTAGTCCTATATCGTCCCATAGGATGGTGGCAACCATACCCGGGGAATGGCTCTTGGTCTGAGGGGTTCCATGATGGTCCCACCAGATCACAGAGGTCAAAAGGTAAGGCTGGAAAGCCATCTGTTAGCGAGGCCATTACAGAGGTTGCGTTTGCAGTTTTTCCAGTCTCGGTGTTAGTAATTACCCAGGTGATATTATAGATTTGATGTGGACCACCCGTGATTGCTGTTCCCAATATGGTCCAAAGTATGATTAAGGGGCCCCATAAGAAAGTCTTATCTTTAAAGGGTTTTGGGTTCATTGGACTCTCCATGTTGATGTCCCAGTTGGCTCCTTCTCTTTGGGGTGATGGGCGGCCTTGACGTGGGAAGCGTGGACCCAAGCGGCGATGCCGTCAACCTTTAGAGCGGTAGGGGTGGTCAGCAACACCGTATATGGTCCTTTCCAGCGAGGCTCGAGGTTTTTGGTCTGGTGTCTACGGACCCAGACAGTATCTCCTATCTGGAAGGGATGTGGCACCGTTGGCTTGCCCAGCTGTTCCTGATAGGCCGCCGCTAATGGTTCCCAGACCTCTCTCTGGACAATCTGCAGGGCCTGCAAATGAGCTTGTAGAGAAGGGTTATTAGCAAAATCAGCAATATTGGAGTTATAGAAGTTAACAGATGGTGGGGGTGTTCCATAGAGTATCTCGAATGGGGTGAGTCCATGAGGGCCCGGCGTGTTCCGGGTCCGGTAAAGGGCTAGGGGAAGGAGGAGTACCCAGTCTCTAGAGCCAGTCGCAAGCGTTAATTTGGTTAAAGTCTCCTTAATGGTTCTATTCATGCGTTCTACCTGTCCTGAACTTTGGGGTCGGTATGCACAGTGTAATTTCCAATTAATCCCCAATAGCTTGGCCACCAACTGACTTATTTGGGAGATGAAGGCTGGCCCATTGTCAGTACCTATTGTCTGGGGCATGCCATACCTGGGAAAAATCTCTTCTAGAAGCTTTTTAGTTACAACCTTGGCTGTCTCATGTTTGGTGGGGAAAGCTTCTGTCCATCCTGAGAAGGTGTCCACGAACACCAGCAAATATCTGTATCCATATAGTCCAGGTTTTACTTCGGTAAAATCGATTTCCCAGTGGGTCCCGGGGCGATGTCCTCGTACCCTGACTCCTGGCCCCAGTTTGGTCTTTCCCGCATTTACTTGTGCACAGGCCTTGCATCCTCTTGCCACCAAATGTAGAATATCATCTCTTCCTGGTAGATAGTAAATGTCTTCCTCCTTATCTAAGAGGGTTTTCATCTTTTTGGGGCTAAGATGAGTCAGTTTATGTAAATGGGTAATTAAGTCATAAGTCTGTTTGGTGGACATGACTAACTTATTTTTAAATGTCCAATGTCCTTTTTCGGGGTCATATTTAGCCCCCATGTCTTTTAGGAGGTCTATGTCCTCCTTGCTATATGTGAGGAGGCGTTGTGGGACAGGCTTGGCGTTGTCTGTTGTCAAGGAAAAAACCTGGAAGAGTGATTTGTCGAGGGCTATTTTTCGAGCAGTGGCGTCTGCCAGCCTGTTACCCCTTGCCTCTGGGCTATGACCCTTTTGATGCCCTGGACAGTGTATAATACTCAGTCTTTGGGGTAAAAATAAGGCCTCAAGCAGGGCCAGAATCTCAGATTTGTTTTTAATTTCTTTACCCTCTGATGTTAGTAATCCTCGCCTGCGGTAGATCTCTCCATGAATATGGGCAGTGGCAAAGGCATACCGGCTATCAGTATAAACATTAAGCTTCTTACCTTTTGCCATCTTGAGCGCCTGGGTTAGGGCGATGAGCTCAGCTCTCTGTGCCGATGTTCCTGGTGGTAGGGCTTCAGCCCAGATTACCTTCGTCTTTGTGGTTATTGCAGCTCCTGCTCTTCTTTCCCCGTTGTCCAGGAAGCTGCTTCCATCTGTGTACCAAGTGAAGTCAGCATCCGGGAGGGGCTGATCCATCAGATCCGGTCTAGTCCCATGCATTTCTGCAAGGATCTGGAGGCAGTTGTGGTCCTCTGCATCCTCCGGCAGAGGGAGCAAGGTTGCCGGGTTTAGAGCGACCACTGGTCCAAAGTGGATCCGGTCGGTGTCTAGGAGCATGGCCTGGTAATGAGTCATACGGGCATTAGAGAGCCAGCGGTCTGGAGGTTGTTTGATTAGAGCCTCTACCGCATGGGGCGCTAAAATAGTCAATGGTTGCCCCAGAGTCAGTTTGCTAGCGTCCTTAGTCAAAACAGCTATTGCAGCCACCATTCTGAGGCAGGGTGGCCATCCAGAGGCCACTGGGTCCAGCTTTTTTGAGAGGTAAGCCACAGGGCGCCTCCAGGGTCCCAGTTTCTGGGTTAAGACCCCTTTGGCATAGCCTCGTTTTTCATCCACGAATAATTCGAAGGGCTTAGTCAGATCTGGGAGACCCAGGGCTGGAGAGGCTAATAAGGCCTCTTTGATCTCTTTATAGGCCTTTTGTTGTTCTTCCCCCCAGGTAAAGAGAGTCCCTTGCTTTGTTAGGGGGTATAAGGGTGCTGCCATTTCAGCAAAGCCAGGGATCCAGAGGCGGCAGAACCCTGCGGTCCCCAGGAATTCTCGCAGCTGGCGGGGGCCCTGAGGGACTGGGATATTCATGATAGTCTGTTTACGGGCTTCGGTTAGCCATCTCTGTCCATTTTTTATCTGGTACCCTAGGTAGGTCACTTGTTTTTGGCAAATTTGAGCCTTTTTTGCAGATGCCCTGTATCCTAAGTTCCCTAGGGTTTGTAAGAGGGCTTTAGTCCCTTCTGTGCAATCCTCCTCAGAGGCGGCTGCCAGTAGGAGGTCGTCCACATACTGGAGCAAGGTTATAGCCGGGTATCGAATTCTGAAATCAGTTAAATCCCTATGTAGGGCTTCATCAAAAAGTGTGGGGCTATTTTTAAACCCCTGTGGTAGCCTAGTCCAAGTCAATTGTCCTGATATTCCTATTTCAGGGTCCTTCCATTCGAAGGCAAAAATGGGCTGGCTTTGAGGGTGTAGCCGGAGGCAGAAAAAAGCATCCTTTAAGTCCAGTACTGTATACCAGGTGTACGTGGGAGATAATCCACTCAGCAAGTTGTAAGGGTTAGGGACTGTGGGGTGGATATCTTCTACCCGTTTATTGACCTCCCTTAAGTCCTGTACTGGACGATAATCCCCCGTCCCTGGTTTCTTGACTGGGAGGAGAGGAGTGTTCCAGGGCGACTGGCAGGGAACTAATATTCCATGATTCAGTAATCTCTTGATGTGAGGTCGAATTCCCTGGTAAGCCTCATGGGACATGGGATATTGCTTGACCGAAATGGGGGTCGCCGTGGCTCTTAATGGAATAACCAGTGGCGCCTGCTGTTTAGCTAATCCTATGCCCCCTGATTCTGCCCATGCCTGTGGGAATTCCTTCAGCCAATAAATATCCTTGCTAGGATCCCAGTTTGTCTTAGGCTCATATAGCTTGTATTCATCTTCTAAATTGAGGGTTAGCACACATAAGGGTTGATCCTGGGGTCCAGTAATGCATGTCCTTGTCCCCTCAAAATATATGTGTGCTTGCAATTTAGTAAGTAATTTTGAGGGGAATTCCCTGGTAAGCCTCATGGGACATGGGATATTGCTTGACCGAAATGGGGGTCGCCGTGGCTCTTAATGGAATAACCAGTGGCGCCTGCTGTTTAGCTAATCCTATGCCCTGATTCTGCCCATGCCTGTGGGAATTCCTTCAGCCAATAAATATCCTTGCTAGGATCCCAGTTTGTCTTAGGCTCATATAGCTTGTATTCATCTTCTAAATTGAGGGTTAGCACACATAAGGGTTGATCCTGGGGTCCAGTAATGCATGTCCTTGTCCCCTAGTAAGGGGTATGGGCAGTCAGGAACATGTAGGAAAGAGTGGGTCACCTTACCGGTAGCCAGTTGTACTCTTCGGTCCGTTGTCCATTGGTATCTCTTTCCACCGGTAGCCCCTTGGACCCAGGCTGATTTGTTGCTCAAGGGTCCCAGGGTATGGGTCAACACCGAATGTTGGGCCCCGGTGTCGACCAGGAAGGTGACAGGTTGCCCCCCAACATCAAGAGTTATCCTGGGCTCAGGGGGGAGCTCCTGGCCCCGACTTTCCTAATCTTGTAAATTTAGTAGGGAGGTCTGAGGTCTTGGTTTCTTTGGCCCCTTTGGTCTTTTGGGACAGTCCTTGACCCAGTGTCCTTTTTCCTTGCAGTAGGCACATTGGTCCTTGTCTACCTTGGGGCCCCTTCGATCTCCCCCCTGTCTATCTTGTCTTTGTCCTGAAACAACAGTGGCCAGCAGCTTGCTCATTTCTCTATTTCTTTTGCGATCTCTTATGTTTTCTCTTTCCTCTGCTTCTTTTTTAAGCCTTTCGTCCCTTTCCTCCTGTGTCTCTCGCTTATTGAAAATTCGCTCAGCTTCCTTTAATAAATCCTGGAGCGAACTTTCTCTAAGATTATCAAGTCGCTCGAGTTTCTTTCTAATATCTGGGGCTGACTGCCATATGAAGGACATAGAAATGTTAGTAGCCTGACCTGGGTCCTCTGGATCATATGGAGTATACATGCGATAAGCTTCTTTTAGCCTTTCGAGGAATGCTGATGGCGACTCCTCAGGTCCCTGTATTATCTGTTTAACCTGAGCCAAATTAGTGGGACGTCTAGCTGCCCCATGGAGACCCGCTATGAGCAACTGGCGGTAGAGGCGTAGGTGGTTCCTACCTTCAGCCGTGGTGAAGTCCCAGTTGGGACGTTCTAGGGGGAATGCTGCCTCGATCTCATTGGGCAGCTGGGTGGGTCGACCATTTTCTCCAGGTACATTTTTTCTGGCTTCTAAGAAAATGCGCTGTTTTTCTTCTGTGGTTAGGAGCGCCTGGAGCAACTGCTGACAATCATCCCAAGTGGGTTGATGAGTTACTAAAATAGACTCAATTAAAGCTGTTAGTTTTGAGGGATCTTTGGAAAAAGAGGGGTTATTATTGCGCCAGTTATAGAGATCAGACGCTGAAAAGGGCCAATATTGAAGTTGGCCATTGGGTCCCGCCTGCAGCAGGAATGCCTGGGACGCGGAGTCGGGTGGCTGTTCTCTGCGCCCTCTCAGTCGTCCCGCCATGGGGGAGGGAGCGGGGTCAGCCGGGGGCTGTTGGGGCTCGGCTTCTGTTGGTGGTAATGGTTGTGGGTCCTGATATGGGGGGGGTTCCTCAGTCAGTAGGTCTACCAGGAGGTCCTCGCCGGGAGGCAGAACCAGGGGCCTCTCGGTAGTTGTCTTCCTTGTCTCCGTTGAGGTCTCTGCCTGTGGGGACCTCGTGAGGGCTGGATAAAGGGAGGATCTGGTAGGGGGTTGGGCAGGAGTGGGAAGTAGGGGTGGGGGTAGGGTTGGGGCAGAGGGAGCAGGAGGGTGCTTGGGAGTGACAAAGGGTTTGACCCAAGGTGGTGGGTCATGAGCAAGGGCCTCCCAGGTAACAATGTAAGCCACCTGGTCAGGGTGGCCATGCGGCCCTGGATTCATCACTTTATTCTTGACCTGTGAAATAATATCAAGGTTAAAGGTCCCATCTCGTGGCCAGCCTACATTGAAGGTTGGCCAATCAGAGGAACAAAGGGTGATCCATCTTTTCTTGCGGACGTCCATGGACCGGTTGTTAGCCGTGTCCTGGACGTCTCTCCAGTGCTGTAAAGTAAGACTCAGGGGGGTGGCAATAGATTGGCCCATTTCTCTAGATAGATTTATACCAAATATCAAACCAGAAAACAATAAACATAGACAAAGACAACACAGTTTCGCCACGCGGCTTCGGCGCAGAACCGAAAGTAAAGTCTCAATTGGAGGGAGCAAGAGCCTGGAGCTCTCTCCCCGAAGAACCACGTATCCCTCGGACTGTGGGAATGCCCCGAACAGTCCGATACTGGTATAAGGGTTCACAGAATACAGATGAGCCGAAAATTTGGCTCCAGACACCCCTGGGACGTCTCCCAGGGCTGCGGTCGGGAGTCCGAGCTCGTCAGCTCCTCCGCGATTCCGCCAAACACAGAGTGACACGGCCGGGTCGTACTAACGCAGGCGCACCCTGAGAATGTACAGAGACGAGACTCACAGAGAACAGATGCTGGCCAGCTTACCTCCCGAAAATGGGTCGGTGGTCCCTGGGTAGGGGTCTCGTGATCTCGGTGGGACCTCCAAATGAAAGACCTGATTGCCTTTCAGTCTGGGGAGACCCTTCCCAAGGAACAGCGAGACCACTTGTGCGGATGCAAACAGCAAGAGGTTTATTCAGATGCACAGGTACCTGGGGCAGCAAAGTCGCTCGGAGGACTTGCGCGCCGTTAGGCTGGGGTCTAGGGCTTATATAGGGTTGGGGAGCGAAAGCGCGGGTACAGAAGCAAGATGCATGGTTACAGGGTGGTGATTGGCCAATTTAAATGAGGCGGAACTTGGGTACAAACTGTTTTTGTTTTTCCCTTCCCTGGTGCCAGGTGGCAGACCGCAGATATCCTGTTTGGCCCTTGACCGTTAGCAGAGATCCTGTTTGGCCCTGTTCTGTTACAGGGTGTTGTTGCTAAACTATTTATCCTGCGGGGCAGGTGCCTTTCAATCATTTTACATAAACTGACACTTTTAACTCTGTAAATGTTTGTACCATATTTAGATAAAGTCTAGATACTGAACACAGTTATAAGGTGGTCATTTAAGATACATGAGCAAATACATAAATGAACTCTGATTTAGTAGTACTTAAAGTTTGACAAGGTTAACAGAAAACATAAATAATTTTGATAAAATCTTTTTTTGTAATGGTTTTTTGTAGATGTTACTCAGAGCAGAACAATATTAAGATAACCTTGTTATTTTGTAGACATAGAAAATTTGATTTTAGTTTGATATGACCATAAAAATCTTTTAGACGACTCTTAGATTATATTAAATTTTAACTTTATTATACATTGAAGCTTTTATTATACATTTTTAAAACTTACTCAGACCTTTATATAACATACTAAACCCTTTGATGGCTTGTCTTTATCCCTCCTATTTGAAACAATAAACCCTTCTTTATAAGATCCTTTTTTATCTAAAAACATTTTCTTTTCCTTTAACTTCTCAAAAAATACACTCACTACCTATCTATATCCTTTCTAGTTGTTTATTTTGTACCTTGTATTTTAAAATTAACTTTCATAAGAATTTTAAATTTATTGTATGGGCTATAGCAACTAATTAGTAGCCCTTATTTTTAAAGGAATTTATGATGGGCATAAGGTCTCATCGTCCCTCAGGCTTGAGGGGATATTGTTTTGGGTGTGGAAACTGTGAGGGATTTTTGAGTTCTATTTGAATAGGGAGGGTGGTCAAGGCTCACCCTACATTCATCTCATCAGTCCACATTGTGGGATCTATTTGTTTCTGAAGGAGGGGGCAGCAGAGATAGCTGCCTGGGGAGGAGAATTTGAGTTTTTAGTTGTGATAGTAAATCTTGTCCAGCAGGGACATTGGAGTTTTAGGTACTATGAGGAAAGGGTGACAGAAGAGGAGGTCTCCCCAAGAGCAG